TCCCAGCTTCCTAAATGTCTTAGTCCTGGGCTTGGTGGTGGTCTCTGCTCTTTAACATTTAGGATTGGACTGATGTTCCTGGTTGTGTGTGTACGTGTGTGTACATGTGTGCTTGCACACTCGCATAGGGCATCGACACCTTATTATCAAGCATCATCAGGCCTCCCCAGGACGTAGGAGAGCCTGGCCTTTCCTCTGCCTCTACCCTTCATGGAAACCTCTGCAAAGAGGTTCTCAGACGCTTGGCCTTGGGTCAAGTGAAAGGGGGAGGAATTCCTTGAAGTAGGGCCTTTCCCTGGCACCGGGCATTCGCTATGCTGGTGGGCTTTTTTGGCCCAAGGAGTTTGAGATGCCATCTCAGTCTTAGGGAGGGCCTGTCTCGTTCCACACTGCCTGTGCAAGGGCAGGCAGTCCCTGGGGAGCCCCCCCCCCAAGTTAGGATCCAACTTACAGACCCCTGAAAAACCTAAACTATTAAAAAGTCCAGCTATGTACAATGATTCATAAGAGCAGATGGGTACTACTTTGGGATGTGCATCAAAAAAATTACCATGATCTTCGTAGGCGCCGGTTGGTGTTGGGTTGCTAACCGAGGGGTTAGCAGTTCAAAACCATTAGCTGCTCTAAGGGGAAAAGATGAGGCTTTCCACTCCCTCGAAGAGTGACAGTCTTAGAAACCTGCAGGGGCAGTTCCACCCTGTCCTGTAAGGTCGCCATGAGTCAGAATTGACTCCATGGTAGTGAGCTGTGTGTTTTGTTTTTAAGCGTCTGAGTAACGATGTCTTAGTGGATCTGGAAGTATTTCTTTAGTGCTTTTATGCATAGAAAGGTATGTTGCACGCTAAGATAGACACTCACTCGTGCATAATTATTGTGAGTTCCATTCGAATTCAAGGTAAAGCCAGACTCGGTGTGGACGTCTTTCGTCCTCAGAGGGCACCTGTGTAACCAACCGGGAGCTGTGGGCCGGGACTTGAGACAGGCATTTGCACACACCTGGCTCTGTGCTGGATGGCGCTGTTCATGGTGTTCCCCGTGGTGCCCACTCACTCACACAGCCAGACGCACTGTAGTCAATGCTGACTCGTAGTCACCCTGTAGGGCAGGATCGAACTGCCCCTGTAGGTTTTGATGGTTACTCTTTTTTTCCTTACCATTTTATTGGGAGCTCTTACAGATATTATAACAGTCCATGATTCAATTAGATTAAGCATAATTGTACAATTGCTACCACCATCCATTTCAATACATTTCCTTTCTTCTTGAACTCCTTGATATCAGCTCCTCTTTATCCCCTTCCATCCCCACCCTGCCCCTCAGGAATCCTTATTGTTATATTACATATTATTATTATATATATTTTTGCCACATCTTACATTATACAATGTATCTGTTCACCCGCAATGCTATCATTTGTTCCTCTTGAGTGGGTTATACAGGTATCATTGCTATCAGCCCTTCCTGGAACCCCCCTACCTGTACCCTCAGGGAATCATTACTTCCGTTACTGTTTCCAAAGTATCTTTTCTTGTTCAAGATGGTAACTTTTTTTTTTTTAATCACATAAGTGAATTTATTTTAAATTTAAACATGGGCAGATTCTACATTAAACAAACAGATATCAGGTTTCTCCCTTTGCATGGCTGGCAATGGCACTGCCCGCTTTTCTGTTTTCTTTAAAAAAAAATCATTTTATTAGGGGCTCATACAACTCTTATCACACTCCATACATATACATCAATTGTGCAAAGCACATTTGTACATTCATTGGCCTCATCATTCTCAGAACATTTGCTCTCCACCTAAGCCCCTGGCATCAGCTCCTCATTTTTCCCCTCCCTCCCCCTCTCTCCTCCCCCATGAACCCTTGATAATTTACAAATTATTATTTTGTCATATCTTGCACTGCCCGATGTCTCTCTCACCCACTTCTCTGCTGTCCGTCCCCCAGGGAGGAGTTCATACGTAGATCCTTGTAATTGGTTCCCCCCTTCCAGCCCACCCTCCCTCCACCCTCCCAGTATCGCCACTCATACCACTGGTCCTGAAGGGATCATCCGTCCTGGACTCCCTGTGTTTCCAGTTGCTATCTGTACAGTGTACATCCTCTGGTCTAGCCAGATTTGTAAGGTAGAATTGGGATCATGATAGTGGGGGAGGAGGAAGCATTAAAGAACTAGAGGAAAGTTGTATGTTTCATCCTTGCTACATCACACCCTGACTGGCTCATCTCCTCCCCAAGACCCTTCTGTAAGGGGATGTCCAGTTGCCTACAAATGGGCTTTGGGTCCCCACTCCGCACTCCCCCCTTCATTCACTGTGATATGATTTTTTTGTTCTGATGATGCCTGATACCTGATCCTTTCGACACCTCGTGATCGCACAGGCTGGTGTGCTTCTTCCATGTGGGCTTTGTTGCTTCTGAGCTAGATGGTCGCTTGTTTACCTTCAAGCCTTTAAGACCCCAGATGCTATATCTTTTGATAGCCAGACACCATCAGCCTTCTTCACCACATTTGCTTATTCACCCGCTTTGTCTTCAGCGATTGAGTCGGGAAGGTGAGCATCATAGAATGCCAATTTAATAGAAGAAAGTATTCTTGCATTGAGGGACTACTTGAGTGGAGGCCCAATGTCCATCTGCTACCTTAATACTAAACCTATAAATATATGCACATAGATCCATTTCCAAGACGGTAACTCTTGAAGGAAGTAGAAAGCCTCATCTTTCTCCAGAGGAACAGTTGATGGTTTAGAATTGCTCATCTGGCCGTTAGCAGCCCAACGCATAACCACCGTGCCACCAGGGTTTCTGTAGTCCCTACTAGCAGGGAGATTCGGAGTGAGTTGCTTCCTTGCTCAGATTCCTTATGTGTGCAAATGGAGGATTGTAGCACGTGAGTTCAAGGATGAAAGGAGTTAAAAGGCAGAGTGCTTTCAAGAGGAAGAACAGGCCCCTGAGAGTGCCTTCAGTGCTGCCGCTGCTGCCCCTGCTGCCACTTCTTGAGCTCCAGGCTGAGGGTTTGCAGGAGCTCAAACAGGTTGTCAAGCCCGGCCTCTCCCAGGTCATGGCACATCAGGGCCCAGGACTCTCTCCCTGGGGCGAGCTTGAGACCCCTGAGCTTGACAAAGGAGGGTGTCACTGTCCCATCGGGAAAAAGGCTGGGCTGACTGCCTTGGGACTCTGGTGGGAGACCTGGTGGCTTAGTGGTCACGCTTTGGCTGTGACCCACCAGGTCCAATACCACCAGGAAGGCGGGGCTTTCGACTCCCGTAAGGAGTTAGCCTCTCCAGAACTCCAGGGCCGTGCCACCCGTCTAACAGGGCCACCGGGAGTCGGCATCTGCACAGGGGCAGTGAGTTTGTTAGCTTTTTTTACGAGGGAAAGGTCATTATTCAATAGCGATTAGTGGGGAAGGTAGGCAGAGCAAAGAACTTGCAAGTGTTTATGCAGATGCACATAGCATTGTTGTCCTAAGTCCTCCCCAGCTTGCCCCCCCCCCCCAATTGCAAATGTCATGGCTGAGGCTGACCCCAGTTGTCAGGTGGGTCTGGGTGGGCGAGCAGGGGCAGGGCCGAAGCTGCCCAGTGAGTCTGACTGACGGCTCTGTCTTCCTGCCTCCCCCACCTCTGCCCTCAGGCGGCATGAAGCCCAACACTCTGGTCCTGGGCTTCTATGATGACACGCCCCCCCAAGACCACTTCTTGACAGACCCAGCTTTCTCCGAAGAACCTACTGATGGCCTGAGAGAGGGGGCCCCCCCGGCCCTGAGCACCTTGTTCCCTCCGCCCCGGGCTCCCGGGAGCCCCCGGGCTCTCAGCCCCCAGGACTATGTGGCCATGGTGGCGGATGCTCTCAAGATGAACAAGAACGTGGTTCTTGCCAGGGCCTGCGGGGCTCTGCCCACGGAGCGCCTCAGCAGGGGTTCCGGGGGCACCTCCCAGCCGCACCATGTGGACGTGTGGCCCCTCAACCTCCTGCGGCCCCGGGGTGGGCCCGGCTATGTGGACGTGTGCGGCCTCTTCTTACTGCAGATGGCAACCATCTTGGGCATGGTGCCCGCGTGGCACAGCGCTCGGCTCCGGATCTTCCTGTGCTTGGGGCCCCAGGAAGCCCCTGGAGCTGCCGAGGGGCGCCTCCGGGCCCTGCTGAGCCAGCTGAGGATCCGGGCCGAGGTGCAGGAGGTGGTGTGGGGTGAGGGGGCTGGCACCAGAGAGCAGGAGGAGGAAGAAGAGGAGGACTTTGGAAATGGTGGGCAGGGAGACGCTGAGGCTGAGGCCCTGGCCTGCAGTGCCAACACCCTGGTCCGGGCCCAGCAGGGGCGAGGCAGAGTCGGGGGTCCAGGGGGACCAGAAGCAGGGGATGGGGAGGAGGGACCACCCACTGCCCTGACCTTCCTGTACCTGCCTCGGCCACCAGCGGATTCTGCCCGCTACACCCGCTACCTGGCCCTGCTGGAGATCTTGAGCCGTGACTTGGGCCCCACACTGTTCATCCATGGGGTCACCCCTGTCACTTGCACTGATCTCTGATGCCTGAAGCAGCCCCATGCCTGGGGGACCGGTCAAGAGGACGATCCAGGCCCCCCCACCCCTCTTGATTTGTGGATGTGGAAGATCCAAGCTCCTGGGCCTGGAGCCTGGTGGAGAGAGGAGGAAGCAAGGGGTCCTGGGCTCCTGGGTGATCGGGCACGCCTCCCCCTCCATTGTGCATAGGACCAGGTCACTCCTGCCACCGTGGGGGCAGGAGCAGTCAGCAGCCCCCTCCCACTTCACTGGTGCCTTGATGGGAGGGGCTGGCCCTCCTCCTGTGACTCGGCTACCTCAGGCTCCCGGGCACTGCGGACGGGCTCACTGACCCGTGAGTTTGTGATGCGTTTGTTCTGTTTATTTTTCTAACTCTGCTGACTGGGAATAAAAGACCAAAACACTACAGGCTGGCTGAGCTCTGCCTGGTGGGGGGGCAGGTGTGAGGGAGGAGGGGTGCCAGGGGCCCAGGTACCCATGGGGCTGGAGGGGGGCCCAGAGCTGCCCTCGGCGAGACTTGGAGGACCACAGAGCCAGTACCCGGAAGGGTGAGGGGCAGAGGGTGGCAGGGGAGAGCTGGAGGCAGCCAGCTCAGGCTCCAGGCCCGTTCTCCCCGCCCCACAGGAGGGGCCCAACTGGGAGGGACGGTGGTTTAGGGCCTAGGGGCCACGTGACCCTTCCCCAGGAATGCAGTGACATCATTGGGGGCGTGGCCGTCCCCAAAATTGGGAAGGAAAGGAGGAAAGAAAAAAAAAAGCAAGAAAAAGTTTCTTTCCTGGAGTTGTAAAGGAAGAGGGGGGTCACACTCAGAGATCCGGGGCTCTGAGGGGACCCCTGCTCCAGGCCATGTCTGGGCCCACCTGGCTCCCTCCGAAGCAGCCGGAGCCCTCTAGAGCCCCTCCGGGGAGAGCATTCCCCCGAGGGCCCCCGGGCCCGCCATCAGCCCATGGAGCAGGTAAGGCAGCCCAGGGCCCTGTGCTTAGGGAGCTGGGAGGCCTGGCTGCCGGAGATCACCTCTCTTCTTCACTCTTCCCGCCTCCCCAAGCTGGCTGGGACCCTCCCCACGCCCATCCTCTGACGGGGGCAGCAGGAGGGAAGGGGAGGGGACCTCTTGGGACCCCTCGTGTTCTTGCCTATCCCCACTTTTGGTCTCTCTCCCCCCACCCCAGCACTCCAGCCCCACCCCAGAGTCAATTTTTGCCCCCTCCCATCTGAGCAGTGTCACCAGGCCGTGGGGGGACCCGAGGATTGGGGGCCAGCCTGGGGGGGGTCCCATGGAGTGCCCCAGCGCCTGCAGGTGAGAGCTGGCACGGTGGGGGGTGGGGGCCCCCGGGGTGGGCCCCCCCAGAGCCAAGTCTCAAGTGGGATGCAGGGTGAGGGAGGAGTTGGGGTTCACTGCAGCCACCCTGTTCCTGCTCCGTCTCCAGGGGGTTCCCCCAGACAGAGGGGGTTCGTGCCCACGAAGTCTGGACGCTGAGATGGACTCGCTGACCAGCATGCTGGCTGAGTTGGATGGGGGTCGTGGTCACGGGCCTCGGCGACCTGACAGACAGGTGACACCCCCCTTCCTGCCTCACTTTCCCCTGCACTCCACCCCCGCCCTAACTCTTAGGTGCTATGTGAATGTGAATGATGGGGTGGGGTTGCATTGCTGGGGTGAGGGGAAGAGAGCAAAAGTGGGCATGCTGGAGGAGAGAAGGGCCCCTCCCTTCCGCTCTTGGGGTCAGAGGTCACAGGCTGCTTGGGGGAGGGGGCAGGAGTAGAGGGAAGCAGTGAGCACGGGCTGGGGTGGGGAGTGGACTACCACCCCACACCAGAACCAGGGGGGTTACTGCCTTACCCGCTTCTTAGGGGACCCTGGAAGTCCTGGAGACCCTAGGGGGATGTTCTCCCCTGGCATTCTGGAAGCCCCTCAACGCCCTGCAGGGGACCGTGGCCAGTGGGTGCAGATGGGCTCTGGCCCCGCAAGGGGGGGAAGCCCCTGGCCATGAAGGGAAAGGAGCCCCACCACCATCCCCCTGTGCGACAGATGTCAGCATGGAGAAACCTAGGCTCCAGGTGGGGTTTCCCCAGGCTGGCTTACGCCTTGTGGTCTGTTTCCCCCCAGGTGTATGAGCCCCTGTCGCCCCCACCCTACCCCACGGGCTCCCTGAAGTTGAACGGCGGGGCGGTACCATCCCTGCAGCTCTCGGCCTCCCCCTATGGGGGTCCCACCCCAGCCTCCTACACGACTGCCAGCACCCCTGCTGGCCCCGCTTTCCCCGTGCAAGTGAAGATGGCGCAGCAAGTGCGCAGCTGTGGCCCGCCCCGGCGGGGGGCCTCGCAGGCTTCTGGGTCCCTCCTGGGCCCCCACCTCCCTCTCCCAGGCCGAGGTGAAGTGTGGGGGGCTGGCTACAGGAGCCCCCGGGAGGCAGGGCTCGGGGGAAAAGAGGAAGCCGCTGGGGACTCTGGCCTGGCAGGAGGAGCGAGAGGTGGCAGGTACGGGCCTCAGGTAAGTCTGCAGTCCTGGTGTTCGGTGGGGGTGGGGGTGGGGCTCAAAGACCGCTGGGTCTGGGTTGGGTGGGGCATAGCCTGGTTTGGGAGCAAAGTCTCAGGTCTGGGCTGTTGGTGCTGTGGCTTCCCAGGGGGCGTGGCAGAGGCCAGGAGATGGAGAAGGGAAGGGAAGGGGCCAGAGAGTCACTGTGGATCCTGGAGCCCATGCCCTCGGGTGGAGATGCTCCCTGGTGGGCTTGCCCGGGTAACAGGCCTGTCACTGTCCTCGGAGACTTACTCAGTGCCGGGAGCTGGAGGTAGGGCCACGCCCCGTCTGCCCCCCATTGCAGGTCCCCCTGAGCCAGCCTCCGGAGGAAGAGCTTGACAGGCTGACCAAGAAGTTGGTGCACGACATGAACCACCCACCCAGCGGGGATTACTTTGGTGAGCGGCCTCTCTGGGGCAGGTCGGGCGAGGGCCAGGTGGTAACCCTTGGAGGGGCAGAGGAGCCGCGGGCCCTGGCTGCTGCTGGGTGGGTTCAGATTGGATTTATCCCCACTGTCCCTAGGCCGGTGCGGGGGCTGTGGAGAGGACGTGGTTGGGGATGGGGCCGGCGTGGTGGCCCTGGACAGAGTCTTCCATGTCAGCTGCTTTGTCTGCTCCACGTGCCGGGCCCAGCTGCGGGGCCAGCATTTCTACGCCGTGGAGAGGCGGGCGTACTGTGAGAGCTGCTATGTGGTGAGCGGATGGGGCCGGGGGTCCCATGACAGCGGGAGGTAGGGACTTCCATCCAAGGTGGGGGTGGAGGTGGGGACCCCAGAAGAGGAACAGGATTCAGAGCTGGGGCTTGGGGGCAGGGGTTGTTTAGAAACTGCAAGGGGAAAACAAGTGTGTTAATCCGGGTAGACTAGAGAAACAAATTCATAGAAACTCGTATGTGTATAAGAGAGCGTTTTATATAAAGCAGGCATCCTCAAACTATGGCCCGGGGGCCAGGCCCGCTGGGTGATTTTGCCCTGTTTGTTTTTTTACTTCAAAATAAGATACGTGCAGTGTGCATAGGAATTTGTTCATAGTTTTTTTTGAAAACTCTAGTCCGGCCCTCCAACGGGTCTGAGGGACAGTGAACTGGCCCCCTGTTTAAAAAGTTTGAGGACCCCTGATATAAAGGGTAATTGTACATTAAGACAGCATCCCAACCCAGTCCAGTCCAAGCCCATAAGTCCAATATTAGCCCATATGTCCAATACCGATCTATAAAGTCCTCTTCAGACTCAAGAAACACATGCAATGAAGCCAAATGCAGGACGATCACAGGCCAGTGGATAGAAAGTCTTTGGATCCAGTAACGGTGTAAGCATCTCAGCACTGGCAGGGGTCTCCACGTGGCTTCTCCAGCTAATGGCACTAGCGTAGTTCCATGTGTCTTGTCAGTAGAGTGTCTTCCAGGGAGTGAGCAGAGAGAGAGAGGCTCTCCTGCCTCCAAGGAAGAAATCCAGGAATTCCCAGAATTCTCAGGAGAAGTCCATGCCCGCACAGAGGCCTCATTGGCTATGATCTGATTGACAGACTAGAGTCCACCCCTTCACCCTTAATCCTCTCAAGTCCCAAATTGACACCAGATGATATATCTACCACAGGGGTCTCACCAGACATGTGAGGCCTTGAGAGTTAAGGGAGTGAGTTAGCTTCCCTTCCCACATTAGCCCGTGAGGGAGACATCACCCTCTCCTGGGGAGACTGCTGCTCAGAGAGGTCCAGTGGTTTGTCCTTCGAGCTGTCACGCCAGGACTTGAACTCAGATCTTCTCAGACCTACCTCTGCTTGCATCACACACAGGGGGCTAGGCCAATTAGGTGAGTAGGCTTGGCAGGATGCCCCCAAGGGCTAACCACGCTCCCGCTCTCCTTCCCAACAGGCCACCCTGGAGAAGTGCTCCACATGCTCCCAGCCTATCCTGGACCGGATCCTGCGAGCGATGGGGAAGGCATACCACCCCGGCTGCTTCACCTGTGTGGTGTGCCGCCGTGGCCTTGACGGCATCCCCTTCACGGTGGACGCCACCAGCCAGATCCACTGCATCGAGGACTTCCACAGGTCGGCGCCCCCCTCGGCTGCACACTTACTCTCAGCTGCTCGCTCCTCTTGTTCCCAAGCCCGGCCCCAACTCACCTCCTCCTTTCCGATTCACTTCTCTCCCCCAGTACCCAGGACCATAGAGCTTTAGCCTCCTGTGTCCTCCTGCAGCCCACCCTCTCCGGGCTCCAACATTAGACCCCTCCTAGCCCGTTCCTGACAGCCAACTGGGGTCCCTTCCACTCTAGGAAGTTCGCTCCGCGGTGCTCCGTGTGTGGCAGGGCCATCATGCCCGAGCCAGGTCAAGAGGAGACCGTGCGCATCGTTGCCCTGGATCGAAGTTTTCACATTGGCTGTTACAAGTGTGAGGTCAGAGGGGCCTGGGCAAGAGGAAGGGGCCAGGGGGTTGCTGGGCATGGTAGCGCCTGAGGGGTCAAGAACAGAGGCTTCTCTCCCCAACAGGAGTGTGGGCTGCTGCTCTCCTCTGAGGGTGAGTGCCAAGGCTGCTACCCGCTGGATGGGCACATCTTATGCAAGTCCTGCAGTGCCTGGCGCATCCAGGAACTCTCGGCCACCGTCACCACCGACTGCTGAGGCTCCCCCACACCCTCTGCTCCACGGACTACCCTCCCCAATGACTGCCTTGTCATCCACTCTGTCTCCCCATCCTCTGATTGTGAAATAATAATAACCCTCCCCGCCAGAGTTGACAAGACACTTTCAAGTTCATTGCCTGCGTCCGAGTCTCCCACCAGCCTCAGATACAAGCACTGTCCTGGGTTCACGGTTCCCCGTGAGGATGCTGGGGCGGAGGTTCCCAGACTGCGTGGTTCTCAAATGGCAGATCCAAGATTTGAAAAGAGGGCTAGCCCTGGTCTAGTCCCCCTCCTCCTTTTTTTTTGTGTGTGCCAGCACCTGTTTTTAATGTAGAGAGACGCCTCTTGCAGAGTCTGGGGTCTGTGTGTGTTGTCATTTAACCTGGGGGCAATTAAGACTGGGCCTTTCTGGTCAAAACCCAAACCCTGTAGGCCGGATTGGAGCTTCCCCATTAGGTTTCTGACACTTCCAATCTTGATGGGGAACAACCTGGTCAGTCTCCTTGTGAGCAACTAGTGTGTTTGAACCGCCAACCTGGCGTTTAGTTCAGTGTATAACCCGCTGTGCCACCACCTGCGCGCAGACTTGGTTCGGCATGAGACCAAGGTTTGACAGTTTTGCACAAAGTCGGGGCAATTTTGTCGAGGAACAGGGGCGGTGGGGGTTGCTGGCAATCGTTTTGCACAAAGTCGGAGCGCTTTTGTCGAAAAACAGAAGCAGTGGGGTGTGCTGGCAACACAGCGACTGCCCAAGCCAATAAAGACGGACTCTCTGGTGGGAGGGCGAGATGGTAGGAGAGACTTTAAAATGGTTGCTCTCCCTAACATTAACGCCCTAATCCCACGCCCTTGCCCTGCCCGAGTGGCGAAACCGCTCAGTGGGGGTCAGAGGGAAGCCCGAAGGACAAAGCCGGTGGGGAGGTGAAGGCTGGGCGAGAAGCGGTTCTGATCCCGGACACACGCGGACGCTCACGCCTTCCCGCCCCACGGGCACGCCCGCCCTCCCGAGGGTCTGATTGGCTCAGCCCGGCTCCGGTAGTCTCGTTTTGCAGTTCTCGCGCCTAAATCCCGCGAGACCTGTAGGCCCCGCCGTTTTCCCCGCCCCTCGGCTGTCGTTCCAGCTTGCCGCCGGAGCAGTGTTCGGCGAGAGACGTGACGAGTGACGTCAGCGCGGCGCGAGCTGCGCGCGCCGTCTGTTCGCGCTCCCGCGTCCCATTTTCTCCCCGTACCTCCGAGCCCCCTCCCAGAAAGCCGGACGTCTCCCAGTCGCCCGGCCCTTGGCCTCGTCGC